TCTCTCCTGACTAGGCCCCGCTAGAGCCTCGTCTAGGTTCAGTGCTAGAAAGCACTGATTCCGATGAGGGGGCGTTTTTTTGGTGTCAATCACCGGTTTATTCAACCTCTCAAAGATCTGCGATGTGGTGAGCGGCAGGGACACTGAAGGAGGTCTTCCCGAATATTCCTTTGGCGCATGTGTTGGAGTACTGGTTGTCAGTGTTGAAACAGCGCTCGCGCATTTGCCGTCCCGGATTATCATAGCAGGAGCGTCCTGTCGACTGTTCTTTCAACCTTTCCGATGTTATACATCGGCTAAATGTGACCGAATTGAAGTTGAGGCCGCCAGCGGTAGAGCATTGTCAGGCCTGGTTTGAACCACGGAAGCATCCAGGTCTGACAGAGATGAAACACAGACGTCGCAACTTGAAGTTTCGGCTGAACTGAACAATTTGGGCACTATTTTCAAACCTTCGATTTGCACGACTCTAGAAGACCTGTGACCATTGGGCTTAACCTCGAAACCGTGAAATACTTCGAGATACGATTGCATTTCCTTTTATTTCCGCAACCCACGTTTCAAATGATGACATCGTTGCGGCTAAAAATCCAAGTACCTCACAGAGAAACGAGCCTTTCACCGGTATGTATTGGGATGTTATGTGATCAAGAGAAACGTAAAGATAATATTATTCATGGTTTATGTCACGAGGAATGCCATACACAGAACGCGTGGGGAAATCCGTTTCCGAATTGGTTACATGGTGCGCCCGTACTTGTTGTACGATCACCGTAAAGAGTCCCAGAAAAACCCTGAAGTCTTCAAGGAGGACAAAGTAGGCCTCGAAGGAACAGTATAGGTTTACGAAGAGAATTTAGGACGGGGTTAGGGGATCGATAGAATGAAGAGGGGGATAGGCTAAAGCAGCTCGACATGGTATTCTACTCAAGTTGTTTCGATAGGCAATCTTGGGTAACGGAATGGTGCGTTTTCGGTAACTGATCGGTTACGTTAATGCTTCATGGGCGTACAAACGGATCAAAGTGACAACCTTCGCGCGGAAGGATACAGTATATAGAAACCGTGTGAAGCAAATGTCATAGTGCGTTGGTACTACGATATAAGTGTGAACAAACGGTAGTATTGTGAAGGAAAAGCGATGCCCAGCAAATTTCTGACATTGTCCGGATTTCAACTTGCAATCGATCACACGACGCTTGAGCAAAAATTTAAAAATCCTTGTTATTTCTGTTTTG